CTAAGCATATCAAGCAGACAGCTTTGAAGGATGAATGACAAGGCTCTACAACCTTTTCAACCACTTGTTTCCACTAATTTTGATTTGTAGAGTCAGAATTTTAATATTTTTAAGCAAATCGAGTTATAAGATAACAGAAACAAAAATACAGGCATTGCTTTTCAATGTAATGTCTAAGGTTCATTTAAAAAAATAAAGCTGCAATGTTTCAAAGTCTGACGATGTTTTATTCCAACGCTGGTTTCTTACATGGAAGTTTTAGAACAATAGGACCGTCTTTAGATCCTCAAACCTCAGTCTGCTTTGGTATCATCTATAGATTCCTGTAAAACTGAACCTCCCTGGTTTCTATCATCAGACATTGATAGAAGACCCAAGGAGAGACCCAGTATCAAGTATTTTGACCAGTGACTGCCAGGTGATTCTGATACAGGTGGTCTACTGACCAATCATTTAGAAGATATGGGGCAGGGGCAAAGTGGATTTACCATCAGAACACATGAACTGAAGAGTTCTAACTTACTTAGCAACACCAGACTTGAAAATTTGGTGTCACAATGTAACATCTAATTTTAGTAGCACTTAATATACTCTAGGTAGTAATCTTTCTGATTTATCTCATTTGATGTTTACAGTAACTCAGGTGAGATTTTTAAAAAACTGAATCACAGAATATAACTTGCCCAAAGGTATACCCAGAAAGTGGGTATATAGCCCACTCTTTCCCACTAAGTGGATAATACTCCAGATTCATCAGCAGATCAGTTAACATATTTAGTAGTCCTTGGTTAACTTTGTAACCTCACTGGGTTTCCATTCCATGGTAACTATTGGGTTTACAAATTTAATTATCATTCCAATGTTGTTAGAGAAATTTATATTGATCTTAAAAGCAACTGATGCTTTATAAATTATGAACCTGTTAGAATTATGCTTTTCTAAACTGGCCCCTGAAATAATAACCCCAAAGACTTTCTGGATGGAGTACACAAAAGTCACTGAAGCTACATTCACATCATATGGCACAGTAAGCAGGAGACACATAATAGCCGAATTCAGGGTGGTGCCTGGCTCACAAAGAAGCTGTTCTGCTGTCTATTCCATTTTTTAAAAAATCACTTTAAGTTTCCACCAGCCCACTACTCATCCCAAATATACTCACACACTCATCACGTTCACACCATACACTTCTGGTACCTGGCCACAGGATACTCACCAAACCCATTCTAGGCTAATCACAGTGCTTCTCCCCATGCGTCTCCCCTTCTGTCGAGAAAAAGTTTCCTTTCTTCTCCGAGTAGAAAGCTGTCAGATTATGAATTGAGGACTGCTGGAAACTAGGATTTCTACTATTGGAAGGATAAGATCTTGCCGTTGGTGGAAGAAAATAAAATTGTGATGGCCAGTGACAGAGGCGAGAAGTGAGAAGACGCTCTTTGGTGTTCACATCTCCAAATCTGTTGTTCAGAAAACCAGACATGGTTGACTTTCCTGAGGCTTGTTTATGAGATCTAAAGATCTTTTGTTTTTCTTACAAATGTTAAGAGTTTCTGTCATTTGCAACTAAAGACACCAACACTGGCCACGGAACACATTTCTATAAAGATTGACTTGGGGAAAGTTATGACTGACCAGGAAAAGTCATCACTTCTGAATATTCTTTAGCATTTGGAGAAATTCCAAACAAGTCATTTTGGTCAGACTTACTTTCTTCAAAGACAACTGATGAAAAGTGACTTGAAGTCTGTGAAAAAGAGTAGGCTAAAATTCATTTGGATGTATGTATTAGTTTTCTATGGCTGCTGAAACAATGTATTATGACCTGGGTGACTGAAACAAGAGAAGCCTATTGTCTCACAGCTCTGAAGAATACAAGTTCCAAATGAAGGCGTCAGCAGAGCTGCTTTTTTCTGATGGCTGTGGAGGACATGTTCTGGCCCTCTTGCCTAGGCGTATGGAGTGTTTTCTGTCTTCACACCATCTGCCCTCAGTATATATTGTGTCCAGATCTCCCTTTATAAGGACACCAGTCACTGGATTACGTACTGCCAGAAGGACCTTCCAACTTGATTACTTCTGTAAAGACCGTCTTTAAGCCATGCATGGTAGTTCAAGCCTGTAATCCCAGCATTGCAAACCACAAAGCAAACCAACACACACAAATAAAAATTTAAAAATCTTCAAATAGGGTTATACTGTGCTTTAGGAACATTTATTGCTCATCAAAAGAAGTTGGACTTTCCCAGATTTTTTTTCTGTATTTCTATTGTTCCCTCCTAAAACCTAATGTCTAATTTAGGAATGTGTGCTTAGTATGTTTTTTTTTAATTGAAAATCATAGGTGTTGAAATGACTCAAAAATACAAACTTACTCCTGACAAACACAAATCTCAGGCTCTGTTATAGTTGTGATCTTACATTTGTTTGTGTTTAGCTCCCCAGAGACTGTAAACCTGAGGGAAAGGTTCCTGTTATGTATTTTTTTTTAAATCACTGTCTCCTCTGAGCTTGAACAAAACTGGGACTCAGTATTCGTGAATATATTTTAATTTTACTCAATGCCACAGATTCCAGGAAGAGGTGAATGAAATACCAATGCCCCTTTTATCTCCATTAAATTTTTCCTTATCAAAATGTGTATAACCAGCACTTTCTGTGGGTTTGAGATCAGTAACAACCAAAACCCCTCTAGGGAGCTTTTGGAGAACATGGTCTCAACACTCTAGAGCAAGGGTGGCAGCCATACACAGACACAGCCCATCTCTCAGGAGGAATACTGCATATAACAAGAGGAATACTGCATGTAAGTGGCTGATACATATGTTTTGTGAAATTGTACCCTAAACAGGGAAGTATAACATTGGTTAGAAAATAAAGAATCCAGGATAATGTCCCCTTATGTCAAGATCCTTTTTTGTCATGTAAGGTAACAGATTCACAATTCCTGGAAAATTAGTATTTCATGTAAGTTGAAGTGGAATTCTAAATGAAAATGTATCTTTCATGCCGACATGTGACCCTGCCTTCTGAATGAGCTGTAATTTTGGGTAAATTTCTACGAAGTAGTAAGCAAACCACTGCCAGAGTTGTCTAGTATTGCTTCCCAGCAGCTCTGGCATGATAAGCATACTCTAAACCATGCTGAGGTTTAAATGGTCAGAGCGCCTGTTTAACACAGACTAGTAATTACACCAAATTTCATGGGCATCAAAAATGTCTTATATTTTGATGAGTCAGTGTTTTAATACAATGAAAAATTTTTTTCCTGTTAAAAGCTATATCCCCTCTTGCAAATACAGCAAAAAACTAACTATATGCTTTCAGTCATAATAGGTCACTATCAAGCTCTTAGAGACCACTTGTCTGTCAAAGGGGGAGAGCAGGTCCTGTTTTTAATCTTTTAAAATTACACTCTGACACCAGAGTCCTCTTTCAGAAAATAAAAGTTACTCTGTGAAGTATAGGAATTTCAAGCAAGCTTGTATTAGTGATCAGAAAACATGAACATTGAAAAATTTACACATAAATTGTATGCACCAACTGTATACAAAGATTTTAGGTAAGTTAATCTTGCACTTAACCAAAACTCACTTACTGATGTGTTTAAATTTGGTCATCTGTTACTAAGGAGTTGCACTAAAAATAGCCAATGCTTTGAAGAGAAATTAAGAGAACAAAAAAAGCGACTGGAAGACAACTGCAAGCTACGTACTGATAAATCACTTGAGTTAGAATAAACAATTCCTGAAATTCATTTAAAAAGAGAAAGAAAGCAAGAAAAAAAGAAAGAGAAAGAAAGAAAGGCAAACAGAGAGACTACTACTCTAATTTACAACTAAGCAAGGGCTGCCTACCTCAATGGCAGGTTACTTATCAGCTACGCGTGAAGCCCTGTGTTCAATTCCCAGCAACCACTGAATAAATATCAGCAAAATATGTAAACAAACACTTCATGATGGTATAAGGCAAATAAGTGTCTGAGAAGATACTCACTGTCTTTAATCCTTGAGGAATTCAAGTTAAACCCAGAAGGAAGCATCCATCACAGATGTGGTATTTTACTAGTGGATTTTACTAGTGTTATTTTACTTCATGGATATGTAACACACCAAAGCTTTTCAAATTGTACACTTCAGCCATGTACAATTTATTAAAGTGTTAGTTACACCTATTCAGAGCTATTTAAAAAAACAGACAAAGTGTAATCTTTCTGGTTCCTGGTGTTTTTAGGAAGAAATCTGAATATTCTGCAGCACAGTTTAACGCTGGGGGTACATAAAAATTCTTAACTTCCTACACAAAATTTAACTCCCTATGTAAGTTTTCATGTAGATTATCACATTCCTTTATCACATTCTCAAAGGGTCTGAGAAAAGGGATATTAAAAATCATTACTCTTAGATGAATATAATGAATTGTCATCCTCATTATAGTACACCTGTTTTTATTATAAGAGTATAATTTAAGTGGGAACATTTTGTGTCGATGAACCCTATAGCTCCCTTCTCTTCTGCTTGCAGTTCAGATCTCAGCAGGTAATCTAGGCGAGTGATGGTGATTTCAATGATAACAAACAGCTGGCTGTGGCACCTGCCATAGGGTCCCCACCACTATTCTCCTGGGCAATGATGAATTATACATAACAATCTAACAAAATTCTGACTTCTACCTTGTACAAAGGGAGCTTTTATAATATAGGAGCTATTAGACTTCCACATGACCTTCCATGTACACTAGGAAACAGAAATCCAATCTAGTGAAGACTGAGAGGAACATGCGCAGAAGCAAGGTAACCTTCTGGTTTCTGCTCAGTGCTCCAAGTCTTCACATCTCTCTCTGCTGGAAATTCAGTTGTATTTCTGATCTTGGGTTCCATGACAACCTAACATATCACCCTGATAATAAAATTTCCACCTCTGATTGCTTAAATGGGAGTTTCTATTACTTGCAATAAAAATACTTAAAATACATTTTAACTTTAAAAGAAAACACTGGTTCACTTCATATTGGAAAATTATTTATTATGACAAAAATAAAACCATTGACTGAAAACAAGTGTTACACTATATTGCACCATGATTGCAAATGAGCCAAATCCTGTCTAAAAGATGAACATTCCAGAACAAACAGCATCGTTTTACTTGGGTAAGTAGGCATGCAAGCAATTCATTACAACATAATTGCAGAAATAAAAAATCATGAATGCCAGCAACCTAAATGTAACATACAAAAGCATTTCACAACAGTGATGAAGTATTAAAATCTTTAAAATGTCTTCTAAACTAGCCCACCATTAGAAGAACATGCTTTAAACTATTTGCAAGAAGTGATGTGAATGTAGAGTAATTTGCTTTTAAAATTTCTTCATTAATGCTTATACATTGGACCAATGATACAAATTTCAGTTGGTTAGCATTCAGAAGTAGTTTGTGGCAACAAAGACATTTTTCTTTTCTCTGTACAACACCAGGGGGAGAGGGCACAGAAATCCAATTCCCACGTTTGACCTTCTTAATACCTTCTTCTATTTTGACCAAGCTAATTTGCTAAGATACTGTTAGAGCTTTTGCAGAAAGAAGCCTAAAGCCTGACAGATAAAAGTCTGTATTTCAATATTTAAGAAATGAGCTTACATACAGACTTTCAAGAAGTTTTACATTTGAAGGCAAGTATTTTGAATACAGGGCCTGCTGCTTCCTCTATGTGCTCTAAAGCACCAGTTTGCAGTAGGATGGCAATATGTGATCACAATCACTACATTCTGATTAGAATAAATGCGAGGGCAAGGCCACAATTATGTTCCATAGAACAGATGATAAAATGTATAACTGTTCCAAAACTGAAAAAAATCGTAACTACTGTTTACTGTGCATTTTTGATGAAATAGCAACTAAATTTTTTAAAAATCAAAATTAAAAAGTTTTCATAACTACATTGAAAGTTTACTCCAAGAGAATAAAATAAGGGTTTTAAAGTCCCTGAACTTCCTGAGGGAAAATGTTAGGTTAAAAAGAGTACAGTCTCTTATGAACAGGATCAAAACATGCAAATAATTATGCAAGTGAGATCAAGTGGTATATATTATTCTACCAATACTGAAGTATATATATTCAACAGCATAATCTAATCAAACTCATTAAGAATCTTTTCCTTCCTTTCATTTTATATAACTAATTAAATACTGACTGAGCAATTGCTCATGTGCTTTAGTGAAAACTGTACGTAATCTGACAAATCATGTTAGCCCTGCTGGTAGAAATGATTAAGACTAAAACAAAATCCCCAAGGAATGTTATCCCTTAGGTGTAAATTCTGTGTATTTTATACACAGTTTGTATGAAGAGGGTATTCATGGGACAGAGCAACATCCCACAAATTTGAACTAAGCACCTTGTGGATTACACAACGAGGTAATTTTTAAATTAACACTTTAAAAGTTTGCGCATTAGAACATTACCATTCTTTTAGAACTTTTCTATTTCAACAGCTATGAACAGAACATTTTATTACTTCACTTTCAGAACAAAGCATAGATCACTAGTTTTTAAAGAAATGCAAAAGATGTGTCTGACTCTAATTTCAAATTTTAAAAATCTCATCAGTCTTCAGATTTTTTGGCCATAATAAAAACAAGTTAAGCTATGTGCTCTAAAAGACTAGTAATTTCAAAGGCCCTAAATGAGAGCAGGAAGGGAAATTTCTTCTTCCATTCACATGTTCTTTTACATCTTTGTCAACACATTTCTACTCCCAGTTTTTCATTTCAAGTGTTCTAAGTTTATTTCTAGGTATGTCTCTAAACTTCCAAAGTAACATTTTTTAAACATTTCACTGACTCATACACATTTTAAAATCAATTTCCAACCCAATGAAGACTTTTTCCTTTAATTTAAAACAGTAGTGAAACCTATTTTTTACATTAACTTTATCTAAATAGATAAATAGCTTTGGTCACTTAGAATTTTGGTCACTTAGAATTCTGACTGAACCTTGCTAGACAAGCACCCTATTACTGAGCCACATCCCCAGCTCTTATTTTGAGGCAGGGTCTCACTATAAGTTGCCCGTGCTTCCCTTCCTTGATCTTGTGATCCTCTTTTCTATAGCCTCCTGTACAATTCATACAATATTCTTTTTTTGGGAACTTAGCTTTTGAGTTTCAGTTTTCACAATAATATTAAATGAAGTAGTGAAAAAACTAACCCGGGACATGAAGCAGTTTCAGCTATATGCAAACACTAGTTAAATATTAACATCCTGGTCACATTATCCTTTCAACTGTAAAAAGTCAAATAGAACTAGAGCTTGGAGTATCATATAAGGCAAGAAAACGAACTAACCACTTCCAACTAATTAGTAAATCCAGAAAAAAAAAAAAAGATAAACTTTCTAAAAGAGATTATTTCCAGCACCTACTGACGCTTTATAAGCAATTTAATATTAACAATATGGCTTGTTTTTTTTTTGCATTGTTATTAGCTACCAGTTCAAATTGAATACTAGTTATTAAATGATATTTTCCTTGATTATATTTATACACTAAATGAAATAAGAATAGGAATCAAATGCTAAAATCAGTTTAATTCTATATTACATGCACACAATTTTTGGCTTTAAAAATTATTAGTAATAAAGATGCAGAAATTTAAAATTAAAAGACAGAGCTCCAACTGGCTAAATTTCCTCACTATGGAAAAAACAACTAATATGTACAGTATTGTCATTAACTGTCTTAGGTCAACTAGATAATAAATATGCAAATTCATTTCTTCAGAGAGCCAATACAGTATTTGACTAGGTATAAGACAGTATTTGTGTTTTGAAATAATTTTACTGAGACAAAATGGAAAAAGATCTTTTAGAACTAAATTAAAGTTTTACTGGTTCAGAAGCCATGGATTTAAAATTAGACTCCTAAAGATGGTCTTCAAAGATGAGTGTCAATAACACTCCTAATGCAGTCACAATACCAGTAATTTCTTTAATGTATGGTTTTAACAGTTAGGATTAAATGGGTGTCATTCAGAATGATTTCATCTAAAATTTCACCTAAGCAACTCTATCAAAGAGTTTTAAAATTTCTTTGCTTTAACATTTCCATAACTCTTCAGAGACTACTGTTAACAGCACTGTCTATGCCACTCACTGTTCCTACTGGAAAACAATTGTTTTCTCTTTATCTTTTTGATCATCAAAGTTAAATTATGCTTAATCAAAATGGCTACCATTATAGGAGGCACCGACATTTAAAAATTATTTTAATTAATGAAACTTATAGTATCTTTCCTCCAAATAATCTAAAATAAACATAATTATATCTTTTTTTTTTTTTTTTTGTCTTTTTCATTTGTCTTTTTCATTTTTACCGGTACCAGGGATCGAACTCACGACCGCCTGCTTGCAAGGCAGGTGCTTATGCCGCTGAGCTAAATCCCCAGCCCCAACATAATTATATCTTTAAGAATACAAGCAAAAACTATTTTAGTTTCCAACAGATTGTATACATTTCAGTTTTTTAAAGTTAAATTACACTAACAATAAAATGTTCAGCAAACTCCCTAAAAAAGGAACTATTCTAAAAGCGTTTTCAAAATGTTTTCAGTAAGAATTACTGGGATAAAGATGAGGAACATAATGTTTAGAATTAAGAAAAATGCCATAATTGAACTTGGCATGGTAGTTGTTATACATTTTAGTCATAACACGTCAAAAATATTCCAGTTAAAATTTAACACATTTTCCAACTAAAAATAAAATTTAGAATAATCTAAGGGAAATGTGGTGGGTTCCTTACTTTCTACTTCCTAGGAACTTTGCCAGGTAAAATGTGGAGCTGAAAGAGAGAATAACACTCTATTTATTCCCTTTTTGAGCTCGTTAGCTTAAAATCTGACTCTAAAGAGTAGGTGTAGTACAAAACTGAGAATTTATCTCAAAATGTGAATAAAGGCACTAATCACACACATTTTCATAAGATATCTGTCTTAGAAAGTTGGCTAATTTGCAACCAATGTCAAAATCAATGGTTAAGTATTAGATACTTGCTTGGGGTCAAACATTCTCTTGGAGTAAACAATAAGCAACTTTCATAGTACTATAACAGGAAAGATCCGAGTAATACTCTTTAACCTTTTAAAAAGTCTTAAACTTCTCAACCATTGGCACAAAGTCTACTTGAATGGCAATTTTATCCTTAATAAATACTAACACACATCACTTCTAACGCAAAAAAAACAGATTCAGAAAACATTGTATTTTAAAACAAACAGGACATTTCAGTCTATGCTGCTAGTTGTTTGAAAAATACAGTTGACGACAACACTTTCAATATAATGCTGATGTGGTAATATAAAAATAATCATATAATTTGATAGAAGAAAACTGAACCAGAACCACCCTTATTAGATACACGAATGCAGATAATTATTTCACAGGGAAATACTGGAGCATTAAATATGCTTTCTCAGAACAGACTTATAAGAATTATCCTTAGTATTTATGGTAAACAATAAAACCAAGGAGAAGTTCAGGCAAAATGTGCTTTAGGTAAATGGTAATAGTTCTTCAGTCCCAACCTCTCCCACCACCATCATAAACACACAGCACGAAGAAAGCATCCATATGGATTTATACTTGCTTTTCTTTTACATTCTTGATTATAATTATATTAAAAACACAATTAAACTTACCAACTACTCATGTAGAATCAGTAAGAAAAAAAGGTTCAAAATAAAAGTAAACTATTTTCCAAAGCCCAGAAGGCTTTCTTCTGGCTACTTTCCATTCCAGGGTAGGCTACTACTAAATGAAAATCAGGAAAAGGTTGCCAAGTACCACTAAATTAATTCCTCTCTATATAATACACCACGTACATCTGAAAAGAAAGTAAAATTCCTATCAATTTAGGGATAAAATATTGAAATTTACTTTGAACAAGAATTTTGAAATTCTTATGAACACTGAAACTTTTCTGTGATCCAAATGAGAAAAACACTACAAAATTGATCTACTATTCTTTTTCACATTCTTTCCCTTTCATGACAGCAAAATTTTACTTGAAATAAACAGGATTGAAATTTCAGTACTTGTCCCCACTCTTCATTTAAGTTATGTACTGTTTGGATTATTTTTCATATTAGACAACTGCCTCAAACTTTTTAGGAGTATCCAATAAGCAAGCTTTTGATAGATTATGACTTCTCCATTTTATTTTTTTACTTTTTAAGCTGTTAAGGGTCTTAAATTTTCATAGTAATATTCTACAAAGTAAGATTAGATCTAGCAGTTTGCTATGTGATTTTAGAATGCAAAGTATAATTACAAAAATACGATTGTTTTAAGCCTATTACACAACACCCATAAAAAGATTTAGGTAACTTCCATAGATTTTAAGTAATATAGCACTGATGTCAAAAATGCTGACACATTTTCTGATTTAGGTACTGCCTAAGGTGGTAACTCTTACAAATAAAATAGCTACAATTTTGCTGATAAAAGTTATTTGCAAATTAATAGTACAATATATTTTAAGTATATTTTTAGTTTTAGTATTCTGTAATAACTTGTTATGTATGCACTGAATAATATGACATTCTTAAAAATATCAGATTTATCCAACAATACCTGCTATCAAAGCTGGGTTCTCACATATTTCATTTTGATTCTTGTAGGCAGAAAAGTAAACAAGTCCTTTGCATAAGTTTACTTAATTTCTATTATATAACAGCAACTTAAGTTACGCCATGACATGCAATAATATGAGGGAAGTTTAAAGGCAAGTATTTATGATGTTTAATTTTAATCTTATTACATAAACCTTCCAGGCAGATTTCTTTATAATAAATTTTGTTCAAAAGATAGTTTTGGAGGAAATATATTTCATGCTGGAGAAGTTCAGAAATAACATCGGGGTTTCCATTTCTACTCTGTCAAACAGTAACTATCTGGGAGAGGGGCAGTAATCAAGAACGGAAAGAAATTGGTCAAAAAGTTAGAACAATACTTGTGAAAACATTAAACATATGACAAACATTTTTACAAGGCAGTCACTGAATAAGAATAACCAGTCAGAAGAGTTCTGTTGTTGAAAACATACATAATGTTCATCCAACTGAAAATTAGTGCATTTAAAAAAAGTTAAGAAAAAATCTTTTACGTTCCAGTTCAGCTGCACTTGATTCAAGTGTTGCTTATAGAGGTTTGTGTTGTTATAAATTAAACATGCTGCTGCCTTAGCAGCCAAAGATACTAGGAAAAATGTTCATGTCACAGAATAAATAGAAGAGTCTCTTTCAAGCAAAAAAGTTATCTCACGCCAATCCGGGAAGTCATCCATTCCAGACCTTGGCATAACCTAATCAAAAGAAGAAAGAAGCATTTTCAAAATTAAAAACTTTATGCTTAAAAAGTAAAAAGCATGCATATTAGTTTTAAGTCTTATTTAAAAGCATGAGTCAAAGTGCACATGTAGTTACTAGATTGCAAGTCATTTCTAACAAGAGAAAATCTAACAATTCAAGTGGTATGAGGGTAAGTAAGTTCCTAAATACAAACTGGGTAACTCACTCATAATGTTGTTTTCTCCTTAGCCTAACATCTACTTATAAACTCTTAAGAAAAGCAGAAAGCACAATGACAGTGCCTCAGCTGGAAGTACGCCTCCCCAAAGCACTCATGATATAAAAAGAGACGTCCCGTTGTATACTGTTCCCACAAGTTGGCAGCGTAGGTTTACGTCCTTGCAGAAAATGTGTAAATATCTTAAACCTTCAATTCAGGTGACGCAGTTTTCTCTTAACTGAGAAATGATTAAATCAACAGATGAGCAACCAAAAAAAAAAAAAAATCTGGATTCTGGAAACGTATTTCAAAAGTTTATTATTCTCTCTTTTTTGGTTACACATTATGTTTATATTATAAATTTTAAGGTCACTAACTTTGTTTACTAAAATGATTTCAACCTTCTAGTAATACAATATAAAAAAGCTTGTTTAAATTAAGAACAAATAATAAAAGGAATAAGAGCAAGAAGAAAACAAGTTGGTCTTAAAAAGGTGGAAGATGCTTGAAGCCATGCTTTCCTCCAGACTACCACTCACCCTTCTCCTGTTAAAGCACAGCAGGACTGAATGTGCCATGGATGATCCTTAATTGAACTAAGAGTGAGGTATTTAGAGATTTCAGCTGCAGTCATGCACCCTTTCATATCCTGTTTGTTTGCAAAGATAAGCACTGCAGCCTTCCTTAAATCCTGCAATCGACACAAAATATCTATTATGGGAAATACCAGAAATCAAATGAAATAAATGAATAAAGCACAAGAGTAAAATATACTCAGCTGGATTGTTTAATTAAAATGATCAGGCATTAATAATTTAATTTTTAAAAATGTACTGAAATAAAAATAGTCCCAAATAAGCACATTTAATGAGTCACTCCAAGAAAGATGAAGGAACATAAGCCAAGTAGTTGAAAATAATTTTCTATTTTGGGTCAATTTAAAAAGAAAATTCAAAGTGAACTCAAACCATTTTATTTTTTTTTTTTTATTTTAGTGATACTGGGAATCAAACAAAGAGCACTGTGCAAACCAAGAGTACTGGGCAAAAATTTTAACAATGGGCTAGACTACTGGTCCCTCAATCATAAAATCTAATGTACAGTATGGTAGTCGTTGTCAAATACTATAGCGTTCTCCAAAATTTAAAATAGAATGCTAGATGTGGGAAGCTGGCAATACTTTTTTTTCTTTGTATAATGTAAGCTCATTGATTAATGTTCACTGCATCGCAGCACTGTTTTTTTTGTTTTGTTTTTTATTTATTTTGGCAACTGGGTCTTGCTATGCTTCTCACAATCCTCTTAGATTCCTGAGTACATAATAATGTGAATACTAATAGAATTGACTGACTGTAGAATACTGTATTATTGAAAGAGATGAATTAAAGCTATATGCATTGATCTGGATATTCAAATGTGAAAAAAAGTACAACTAACAGAAAGACAAACAATGTTACATAAGGTTCTAAACACGGTATACAAGTATTTTGTATAAATTTATATTAAAATGTTACATACAAAATATACATGATAGTAATCTAATAGTTATCTTTGAGCTAACTCTGAGAAGTTAAAAAAAATCAGATTTAAAGATCTCCTTCAAACCTTCTAAAATAACTGGGATTACAAGCATGTAAACAACTTGCCTGGCCAATGAATATATTTGTCTAACCTTTGTCTCTCTCCAACATGTAGAATTAAGAGATCTCAAATTATTCATTAAGGAACTTTTGGGGGAAAAAAAGACATTAACATGACACATTAATCTTCTTTAAAAAAAAAGGCAAAGTCAAAGTACAGATATCTTGTTCTATTACTTTTTAAAAGATTTGCTTTCAAAATTTACCTCATGAGCCAACATTCTGTATAATTCTTCTTTCGTAATAGCTAGTCGCTCCCTGTCAATGCTGTCAACTACAAGAATGATGAACTAGAAAATAATTTAAAAGAAAAAATTGCATATTAAGAAATTGAATGAGATATTGAGAAATTTTCTGTAAAATTTGATACAGTGTCTTCATGTGGTATTATTATTACTATAAAATGATTTTTATGACAAAAGGGTTCTATAATATGGAATCATATAATCTAGTGTTAATAAGAAAATGGTAATTTATAACTTCAATAAATAAAAGCTGAATTTACTTCCTTTGAAGAAAAGTGCTGTCTAGTAATACTATGAATAATGTTTTTTAAACATGAATAACCAAAGCTAATTTTAAAAATAATAATTTAAATAATATTTATAAAACTGCAAAGTACTTTATCATTTAACAATTGGTAATGGATTACTTATTGAAGTATAAGATATTCTGTCTACTAGAAAGAAAAACAAATGCATTTTTAAAAAAAACTAGTGAACAAGTCATTTTTACCAAACAAGTAAAATAAAATATGAAGACACAAATGTGCTTTTTCAACAGTAATATGTGAAAAACAAGATGCAGGTGAAATTAGAGAAAGGCAAGAAAGCCAGAAAAACTGGAGAAATCCACTGATGAGGGTACACACGAAAAAAAATCAGACTTTATACACATCAGAAAAAATAAAATACATAAAGCCAAGCTTGTACGTAAAAATAAGATATTGAAAAAGGACTCCTAAATCAAACATCTTATGCAGAAGACAAAGTTTTACAAAGAGATTAAATAGTGGTAAATGTCATATATAGTAGGAAAGTAGTAATATAGAAAGCATAGAATCAAGTTATAGAGATGACTGTAAAATTAGGGAGAGTCAACTATAGTAAACAATATAAATCAAAAGCTTAGAGATCAAAGAGAAAAAAAAAAAAAACACCTTATAAAGAAGGAATGGACAGAATACCGGGAAGTAACGAAGCGAAAGGAGAGGACAGTGCCAGGAACTCATCACCTGCGGCTCCCTGTATCACAATGGACACTTTGTGGCTACTGCCTGACATCTCAACAGAAAGAATCTTCAAAAGCACGATGACAAGCATAAAAAAGGCGTAAGTGAAACACCACATACATTAAGTTCCTACCTGAAATCTGAGATTGTGAACTCTAGATGCCATGCTGGTATTCGGCAAAAAGTCTTTTCTTTGTAGTAATTTGATGTTCTTTTAGAAATAGTTTATTGAAAGAACATCTCATGCAAATAACATCAGTAATTACTCTCTTTTCTGGACCGAGGCTAGTCTTCTAGAGTTTGAGCAATTTCAAAAAGTAGCCTTTGAAATGTTTTAAGTATGGTGTATGTGAATCAGCCATGCTGTTTTCAAAGCTGGAATTAACAGTGAACTTTGAAAAAAGTACGTATGCTATTTAAATAAGTCATATGCTAAGGTATTTTTCTTCCCCTGCTCCACCTACTTCAAAATGGTAACTCACAGTGTAAATGTGCAGTCAGCTAACCTATGACCACGATGCTTATCAGTCTCTTTTACCTGTCCTCACCAGCTACTTAAGTAAAATAATTGCTACTACAAGTGCTGGATATCTGTCCTGCGTCATCCAGCTTTACTAGTGATACACAGCATTAGAATGTATACATGCACATATGATATTACAACACAAATTCAGGGGAATATGTTTTTAGTGTAAGAAGGCAACTTTGTGCTCTAAAACATCTTTCTTCTATACGCTCTTGCATCTTCAATTTTCAAAAGGTTTCATTTCAGAAAAAACACATGCAAATAATTGGTTAGGTATACTTCTTCCTCTTTACAATGAAAAAATCCATGGATACAACTGTATATAGTATTCTCCAGGATAAAACTCTCAACACTGCACAGTCTTAAAAAATTTGATTTGTTACTCACATTGGGTCTGAACTAATAATCAAGTGACAAAAAACTCTGGGACTGGTCTACAATTTTAATTCCATTAAAAAAGAAATGACAATTCTGAATGTTTGTGCTATTTGAAGGGGAAGAATAAATTAGGTATAATACAAGCCGCCTTCCAAAGGAAAAGCTATATAATTTCTCCTAGTAACACTTAAAAGACATTACAGAGTTATTGTGAGAATAAACAGACAGCCTAATCAAAAGTAAGCACTCAACTAACAATAGCTACCCATAAAAGTCATCACAGCATACCTCTGTGTTTGAGTAATATGTGTTCCAGGATGACCGCAGTGACTCTTGTCCCCCAATATCCCACATAAGAAAATGAGTGTTTTTCACAACTATTTCTTCCACATTGCTTCCTATGGTTGGAGAAGTATGAACCACTTCATTCATTAAGCTGTTGAAAGACAGGTACCATGAGAACTTTTTTGTAAATTCTGAGAATGCGAAGGAGCTTTTTTTTGGTGGGGTTTTTGAAGACAGGGTCTCATCACATAGTTCAGGCAGGCCTTGAATTCAAGTTGATCCTCCTTGCCTCAACTGTCCAAGTGCTGGGATTTTAGGTGTGTGCCACCAGACTGCACTTCTAAAGCAAGTTTTAGCTCTGTATTTTTAAGATGAATAAAATTGTCTTATTTATATGAATGATGATAATCATCAGCTTGAAAAATGGAAAATTGGAGAGTATTTGTGCAAACAAAGATCTAGGCAAAAGACACTGAAGAAAACTTTTTTTTTTTTTTAGTGGGGGGTCTTGCTGAGACAGATTTTTACTGGGTAGTCAGTCCATACTCTTCTTAAATTCACTTTGTAGTCCTGGGTGGCCTCAAACTCACAGTGGTCCTCCTGCCTCAGCTTCCAGAGTGCTGGGATTACAGGTGTGATTTTCGTTTTTTAATGGATTTAACTGCAGACTTATATACAGAAGAGAGCGCTGTGGTGTGACACAATCAGTTAGATGAGAAGTAGCCCTATCCCGTAATGCCAGTATCACAAAATAGTAACCACTGGATAGTAGGCTCTGAAGGGTGGCTTTGTAAGGGTGTCTAGGTAAAAAAGTTGAGACTCAGTCACAAAGCTTAGTTCAGGCATATTAAACCAGTCCTAAAAAGATAAGGCTGTGGGCAAATACAAATTTTACTTAAAAGAAACCATAAATATATTCACAGTACTGATGTTCATATCCCTTGTGTTTGCTGATAACATGCCAGTACTGTGTTGGAAGAGACGACCTCCTCTTGGGTACTTTTTTTCCCTTTTGAGGGGAGGGGGTCCTGAGGTACTGATTAAAGCGAGGGCCTTACACATTCTAGTCAAGGACTCCACCACTGAACTACATCCCTAGTCTTCTCTTAAATTTTATATATTTTGAGGCAGGATTTCACTATGCAGTTCAGGCTGGCCTTGAACTATGTAGCCTAGGTGGGCCTTAAACTCAGAGCAATCTTCTTGCCTCAGCCTCCCAAGTGCTGGGATTACATGCATGCGCCACCACACTTATCCTCAAATTTTATACATAGTTTTGAAGCTACGTGCACAAAATGACTTCAATGAAAATGAGAAGTTTCTGAAACGTTTGTATTTGATGCTTAAAGGCTAAGTCATATTAAAATACAGAATGACCAATTAACACGTTTTAAAGAAAAACAAGTGGACAAAAGATAAGTATTAATGTATTTCTCCCAAAGTTTCCAACCTCTTCTTTTTGCAAGCCTGAAAAGCACTATTAGGACTATCATTACTTTAGATATGTTTGGCTACATCAAACAACTGTAAAGCTATTTAGGAGAATAGCAGCTTCCTAGAGATAGCAATCTATTTACATTTATTTCAGTACATGAAGAACTATGTGAAACTCACTTCATCATCCTACCCAGCATTGTAATTTGCGCTTTATTTTATTTTAGTTTAATATTAATCCTTTCTTTCAAGGCCAAAAAACAGTGAGTATCTGTGAAAGCTTAGAAAACACACAATAGTCTATTCACTTTTTGGTAAATTTTGCTTGCTACAATGAAACAGTTTGTTTTTCTATCACATTATGAGTAAGAACAGTATTTCGTTCTTAATATAAAAAGTTTCAATAATCAAAACTGTTAAGTAAATACCAATACTTACAATTGATAAAGAATGGTGGTTTTCCCTGCATTATCCAGTCCCACTATAATTACTTTGTGTTCTACAAAAGAAAGCAAACCAAAAACATTTAATACTGTTGCACAATTACAATTATATGCTTTCAACAATGATTATTAGCTTGCTTGTTAATGAGAATCATTTACTGGGTACTGCTGAGCTAAAATAAAACAAAGACCTAAAAACAATAATGAAAGAAAGTCTCTTGTTAAGGACTTGGCTTAAGGAAGACAATCTATTATGACTTTCTCTATCCATCTTCTCTTATAAAGCATGTAGGAAACAGAGAACTTGGTTTGGGAGAGGAGGATCCAAACAGTAAGCTAGATGTTATGATTTAAAATAAACACCTAAAGAACTCTCCACTATGCACACCTGCTCAAAGTCTCCGCTTATGAAGCTGGCTGTATGTCAAGTTGTTTTAACATGGGAAATTTTGTCATATACCAGGATTTTTTTTTCTTCTCTTCCTTTACATAAAAACTGCAATAATTTCTCTGCCACCAAGACACACATATTCTGTTTTTTATTTTCAGTAATTTACAGAAATAAAAGAATACTTAGAATACTTAGTCTTTAATATTTATTTCTATGTAGATTCTACAATTTTCCTGAGCAGATACTGTTTCCACTCTTTGCACAATAAAAACCTCTTTAGCCCTTTGTTCCTTCTGGGCAGTAGGTAAAGCCATTCTTCTCTGTCAAATGGTACAGACTCTGAAATCTCCTTTGAATGCAGAAGAAAACCCCTCAGATACTATCTTTTCTACATTTTAACCTAGAGAGTATATGAAAGATTCCCTTTTTCCAGGGTAGAATTGCTTTAAGAAGCTACTAAGGAACTTCAGCAGCCAGTGGTAACAAAATTGCCAAAAGAAGCAAAAGCAGTCAATCTGATGCCAATAATGTGGCACATTCCATATTGGAACCCTGCATCTCTTGATGAACTGAAAGGTGACAAAATTGTGATAATATATCTCAACAAATATCAGGTCATGTTCCTGTTAAGTCTTAATAAAAGTGGGGCTGGGGATTTAGCTCAGCAACATAAGTGCCTGCCTTGCAAGCAGGCAGTTGTGAGTTCGATCCCTGGTACCGATCAAAATGAAAAAGACAAAAAAAAAAAAAAAAGTCTTAATAAAAAAGAGGGGCCATAGTACACAGACAGTTCTTGAGCGAACAATCTTTGTAACATCTAACAAACTACAAGCTATAATGCACTGCCTATGATACTGAAAAAGAAGCGCCATGGTTCTCTGGAATAGCTACTCTCACTATAGCAGAAGCTGCTTTGTAAAATAAAGTAACCCAGTACAACTCTCCTTCTCTACCTCATTTGGTTCATATCCCCTAATTTCTAAGGAGCAAATTCTAAAATATTTTGTACTTTGTTCATCCTTACAATATAAAACAAGAGCTTTCTAATCAGTCAAAGAACAAACAGAATGCCTGGGGCTAGGTATTCTAAATTTGGTAAGAAACTGAAATTCTACTGCCCAGCATCAACACATCACAGTGCCCTGAAGCAGTGAGAAAGAAGTCACTCATCCAAAGGTTGGCAAAATACAGGCACAGATACTCCTCGCAGGGGAACACACTGGAGACAGAGCACCAGAGGCTCACTGTTGAAGCAACTCAAGTGAATCCCTGAGGCTATTTTCAATTAATCCTGCTTCAGATTTTGTATTAGGTTGATGATCACAGTATTAAAGGCCTGATGACAAAACTTATAATGTATCATTTTGAAACATTGGTCACACATGTAAACTAAAGATAGGTAACATAGGGATTTCATTGAAGTTCCATAAAGTTTCAAATGTTTGATGAGCTTAAGGCATGATACCCCCCCTCCCCTACACCAGCAATGACAGGGAATTCTCACAAATAGAACAAAGCAAACTTCACCTTTGTCCCATGGTGAGGGTATGCACTGCTTTGCTTGCGATAAACTGAGACCTTACTTCTGAAGTTAAAACCATCAACAGTAATCTGAATCTGTATATGTATAACAAAACATGTAAGAAAAGGAAGAAGCTACATGCTTCATTAAAACATAAAATAACAGGATTTATTTTACAGCTACACTCTAAAAAAAATCTTTAATTATCATTGGTACAGTAAAAACGTAAGCATGTTCAAAGGCCAACTACTAAGCACCACCTCAAAAACAAAGCTGTACTTTGCTGTTCTTAGCGGCTACTTGAGTATGTCAATAACCAAAGACTCCTAATTAGGAAACTTTTAGCCTTTCAAGGAATCATGAAAAAAAATATGGACGATAAACAAAGGGTGATCAAGATATATGGCGAATATTTACTTTTTTAAAAAACCATTACCATAAAAGATACATCATCACTGATCTCCCTCAAAATACATTACTCTTCCCTACTTCAAACACACTTATCCTCTGTCCTTGCCACTTTCTGAAGCAATCCTGGACGTCTTCTTCCCTGTCTTTCAAAAATACAGTGCAGGTTGTCCTTGTCCGACAAAAAGCCCGACTTTTAAAAGCGTTCCGATGAGTCTCACCCACTTTATTCAATGCTGTGGCACCATGGAGCTTCGGGTTCTTTCCCTGATGTCAAAATGCCATGACAGGTAAACATTTTAATTGATTCAGGACATTAGGACAGCCACAAAAAATACAAAAGAAGACTTCCAGAACTGCTTTTAGAAAGAGGCAAGAGTGGTAAGGTACGTGTGTTCAGAGAAAGAGGGAGTACCCTGGTGGGAATTCATGGCAATGTCTTTTATTATAATAAAATTTTTAAAAAATCAAATATTCACCCATGCCTATCATCATGTACTAAACTAAAACCTAAATGGATCAAAAAATCTGAATATTAAAACAGAAACACTAAATCTGGAAGACAAATTGGGTAAGAACCTTGAAGACATAGGGGTAGGTAGAGAATTCATGAACAAGAATCAAACCGCACAGGAAATACTTCAATAACTGGGATCACATCTTATTAAAAAGTTTCTGCATGTCAAAAGAAATCTCCAGCATAGTGAAAAGAAAACTCACAAACTGAGAAAAAAAAATCTTAGTGAACTGTCCCTCGGACAAAGGACTTCTATCTAAAACATACAAAGAATTTAAAAAAATCAGACCCTGAAATTCAAAGACCAGATCCAAAAATGGGCATCTGAGATGAATACACAGTTCTCAGATGAATACAAATGGCAAATAAATACATGAAAAAATGTTCATCATCATTAGTCATTAGAGAAATGCAAATTAAAACCACACTGAGATTCCATCTCACTCCAGAAAGAACGGCCAGGATCAAGAAAACTACCAACAACAAATGCTAGAGAGGATGTGGGGAAAAAGGAACTCTTCTGCACTGGTGGTGGGAATGTAGACTGGTGCAACCACTGTGGAGATCAGTCTGGAGATTCCTCAAAAAGCTGGGATTGGATTGGGATTCAACCCAGCTATTCTACTTGTAGGCACATTGCCAGAACTGAAAACATCATACCACAGTGATATATGTGCACCCATGTTTACAGCAGCACAATTTGTAATAGCCAGATCTTGGAAACAACCTAAGTGCCCATCAACTGAGGAATGGATAAAAAAGTTGTGGTATTTTTATACAATGGAGTACTACTCAGCTATAAAGAATGATCACATCGAGACATTTATATATAAATGGACACAAGACCATATTCATAAGTGAAATAAATCAAACTCACATGTATAAATACTGTATCCTCTCCCTAGTGTAAGAAATGGTAAGAGTACATAAGAGTTTATGGTAATCATGATTCCCCATTACATTGCTTTGAAGCCTCATAATGTTTTCATTTATTAGTTGGAATGGTTTTATCCTGGTTTATTTGATTTTATTATCTGTGATAGCACGAACAGCTATTTTGAAGAAAACAAGTCATTATAATAGCCAGTGCTGATTTAATATCATCTTACTCTCAAGTCCTACCATGCTTTTGTTCTTCTGTTTCCATTGGTTCTATCATATTGTATCTTATTGGATTTTATTATGTGTGATAGTATAAACATTTTCTATGGAAAAATGAGATAATATAGTAGTCATTGTTTGTTCTCTGTTGTTTGGTTCTGAATGTCCTGTAATACCTTCATTCTCTTGAATAGTTTTATACTATTTTGTTATATTTGATACTATTGTATATGAAGTTATGCTCAACTATTTCAAAACAAGAAACATTATGGTAGTTACTATTACTTATGGGTTGTCTTGTGGTGAAATACTGTTTTGCTTACATTGTTCTGTTCTGATCTGCTTTGTTATGTCCTCTTTTGTCTTACTCTCTTTAAAATAAAATTTTAAAAAATCAAATATTCATTGTATTTTTCAATCACAGTGTGTATGTGGACACTCTTCACTGAAAGGAAAAAAACTGAATATGTTGTATTAAGTATTCACTAGTGTTACCTGCCTCAGCAAGCATGAGGTACTCAGTTCAATTCCTGGAACCAAAAAAAAAAAAAAAAAAAAAAAATCCACTAATGTCTAGATTTAATAAATTACTTGACAGGATTATTTTTTCTTTGACAGGATTATTGACTACAGTGATCTGTCATTTTTTTAATAACACATATCAAAAACCATAACTACTATCAGGTAGAGTTATACGAGATGCTTGCTTGTACTATAGGTATTACCCATCAATAACTTTCATTATGCTGACCTAATAGCAAAAAAAAAAAAAAACTTTGAAAATATCTCTTATGGTTCAATAAACACACAAAGGGACTGTCACAAAATGCAATTTTTAAGTTGCCATCAACACCAATCAGATAAACGATAGGCATTTAACATCATTTTTCCTAATACAGTAGGAGTAGAAGGGTTTTATTTCACTAGAATTAAAATATCTAAAGTCATAAGGAGAAAAATATATGAATGTAAATGTTTACTTCAACCAAACCTTAAGAATATGTAAACACCCATGTAAACACACTCAAACTTTAATTTGATAATAATTAAGTAGCTGATTGACTGAAATAGTTAATTTCAATCAGTGTTTTGCAGGAAAACAAATTTAGATTTTGAA